CGAGAAATGTTCTCAAGAGCACAGTACATTAATAGCAGAACAGAGGGCTGAACAGGGACACTGCTCACCATTCACAAAGGCAAGTGTCGAGGAGCAGGTGGCTGAAGATGTCCTCCCAATAAAAAGGTACAATCCTAGCTTAGTTCGGAAGCCTAAATCAACACTGGTTTGTTTGTTTGTTTGAGACATCTTTTAGCTTTCCTGTGTAATATAATTCTCTTTAATTCTATGTAAGTTTGAATTTCTAAGGACATAGACCTTTAAATAGTCTTTCTCTCCTCCCAGCGCCCACACACTAGATAGCTCTGACTTAATATTGAAGACAGGGTAACCTTCGTGCAGAAAGATTTGCACTAGCCCTTCCTTCCCACAGCTGCTAGCTTTTATAACACCCTATACAGATAGGAATTACTTGGAGCAGGTTGCTACTTTTGGAATATTAAACAGATGAATCAATGATGAGGAATCTAAAGACTGGTCTATCTCAAGAGATTTCTGATCTTCAGGAAGCAAAGAGCTGAGAATTTAAAAAGTTATGTTAGAGATGTCTCTGTCCTAAAATTCAAGCACATGATAGTTAGAAAATTCAATTTCCAGAAAAAGTTTCCAAAGTTTTACAGAGAGAGAACGTGTGTATATGTGTGCATGCGTGTGTGTGTGTGTGTGTGTGTGTGTGTGTGTGTGTGTGTGTGTGTTTGGAGAGAGAGAACGTGTGTATATGTGTGTGCGTGTGTGTGCGTGTGTGTGTGTGTGTGTGTGTGTGTGTGTGTGTGTTTGGAGAGAGAGAATGTGTGTATATGTATGCATGCTCATGGATATGTAGAGGTCAGAGGACAGTTGTGGGAATCAGTTTGCCTCTTCCATCATGTGGGTTTCAGGAATGAAACTCAGGGTGTCAGACACAGCAGCAAGGTCCCTTATATGCTCAGCCATCTGCCAGCCCTGGAGTAATTTTAAAAGCACATTTAAATTGTTTGTTCTCTGAAGTTATTATGGAACATTTAGCAATATGATATTTACCCCTAGGTATTCACTGTTGTGGATTTTCAATGTCCTAAATGTATTTGATAAGTATAAATATGTGTGTTTTCTTCTCATTTATCTGGTAAAATTCAAGGGGAGTAGTCAAAGCTGTTGTAACTCTATTGCTAGAATTTAGCTGGAATGAATTGTGTTGACACACACAATAACCTTTTACACAACTTATATAGGGTGGTGACCCAAATGAACCATAACTATTATATATGAACGCAATTTTCAGGAAAAATTGGCCTTCTCCTAATTTAAAAAATTTTTTAAATTACTTATATTTACAGTAGTTATGTTCTAATCAGGGTCACTGGGCATGGTGGTGCATGTCTTTAATGCCAGCCAGCACTCAGGAGGCAGAGGCAAGCTGCCAGGGTTACATAGTGAGACCATCTCCAAAAAAGAAAAGGAAAGCAATCAAGCAGCTACAAATAATATATAAATAAATTCTGTTTGTGGTGTCTGGATAGTCTAGGCAGGACTTTTTTTCAGATTCCTAAAATATATTAAAACACACCTAAGCCATTCTCCCTCCCTATCTTCAGTACTTACTCCTGTCTATTGAAAACACACTGATTCTCTTTGTTTTGTTTTTTTGTTTTTTGTTTTTTTTTTTTTTTTTTTTTTTTTTTTTTTATAGAGATGGGTTTCTCTGTAAAGCTCTGGCCTCTGTAGACCAGGCTAGCCTCGGCGTCAGAGATCTGTCTGTCTCTGACTCCCAAGTGCTGAGACTAAAGGCGTGTGCCACCATGCCTGCTACACACTGAATCTTATTTCACCATAAATTCATCTCCCGATTCCTGCCTTCCTCACAGCGCCTCTTCACCTCTCCCCGGCACTAGTTACTTTTGGGGGACAGAGGGATAAGATGGGTTCACAGGAAAAACAAGCCTTTTTCCTAATCTTCATTCAAAATAGCTTTTGAAATTCTGAAATATAAAAACAATGTATTCTTACAACTTAGAATATCTTACTAAATATTTCAAAATAGTAATGAAAAAATGATGCTACTGCTATGGTTTGTGTCTGAAATAACCCCATAGGCTCATGTTTTCAACACGCATTCCCTAACTGGTGACACTGTTGGGGGGAGGCCATGGAACTTTAAAGAGTCAAGCCTGGGAGAAGCCTAGGTAACTGGGATGGGCCTTTGGAGGCTAAGCCCACCCCTCTTCCAGCTTCCCTGTACACCAAGACCTGGGAGGCTCCATCATGCCTTCCCAGCCACAATGAACTGAAGTCCCCAACAACAGTGGATCTCAGCCTGTGGGTTACAACCCCTTTGACAAAATCTCCATCTCCAAAAATACTTACACTATGATTCATAACAGTAGCAAAATTAGTTATGAAGCAGCAACAAAAATAATTCTATGGTTGGGGTCACCGCACCACAAGAACTGGATTAAAGAGCCGCAGCATTAGAGAGCATGAGAGCCCCTGCTCTAGAACCCTGCTCCAGAACAAGGTTTTGCTCCCTCAAGATGTCTTTGTCGGCTACTGTGGTCATAGCAACAGTCATCCTTCTGATTTTACACTACTGGACCTTTCCGCTTTCTCCATCTCAAACTGGCTTGTAATACATTATTTAATGTATCTTTGAGGCAACTCTGAAGCAGGCACTATTATGGAGAAACTGACACTCAACAGAAATTAACTGGCTTGCCCTGTTCTACAACTGATATGCCTTCCTAGTGAGAAATCACTTTGCACACTTAGAGATTAATAAAGGAAAAGGCTCTTTAATATAGTACTCATCCCGCTCTGGCTAATGCGCAAAGATGAGCCAGCCTTGACTAGATTTTCTAAGTTATACACACCATAGGCATGTGCGTCTCACATATGCAGTCACCCTATATGACCTCTTTCAGATCCCAGCTTCAGGTTCCACTTTGAACAATTTAAACAGATAGGAGACTGCAAGTCTGGACACTTGGACAGTTGAGAAAATTACACAACAAGGATATTGCTAGAATTATTTCTTAAGGACCCTAGTGTTGTTCTTTTGGAATAGTTGCTGCCCAGGCCCATCTTGTTCACCTAGCAGAAGTGTGCTTTTCCTGATGAGAGCACAGGGACTTAGTAGCAGGGTAACCCTTGAACAGCCCCTTAGGCATGTTCTTTGATATGGGATGAGTCTAATGGCTGGTTGTAAGTTTCCTCCTTTTGTTATGAAAATAGAGCCTAATTGGAGGGTCAATCTTGGTAAATAAATATTGGAAGAAACTTTCTTAGCATCTCTAAACTGCAGTTGTGGAACAAATTTTTCATTCCTACAGTTTCTAACAAGTCTGTTGAGTACACTACTTATCTTACAGTCATATTGGAAGCAGAGCTCCTTTAGCTAAATTCTACTTGATGTAACTTAATATTTCCTAATCACAATTATTAGTAAATCCTTTGTAGCATCAATTTTACTATTTCAAGTTTCTCCAACATCAGCCTGAAATCTTGAATTCCTTCTTTATAACAAAGCATAGGATGTTGTGGAATAATCTTTGTACACTGTGAAGATGTTGTCACAGTGTACATTGTCAAGGGACCTTCTGATTGGTTTAATAAAGAGCTGAATGTCCAATAGCTAGGCAGGAAGAGGTTAAATGGGACTTCCAGGCAGAGAGAGGAGAGGAGATTAATCTAGGCACAGGAGAGATGACAGAGGACACAAAGGACACAGAGAGGAAACAGGAAGTGCAAGATGGAAGAGAGGTAAAAAGCCACAGACAAAACGTAGATTAATTTGTTATAAGAGCTCGTGAGACAAGCCTAAGCTATAGGCTGAGCTTTCATAATTAATAATAAGTCTCCATGTCCTTTTTTGTGAGCTGGTGACCCAAAGAGAAATCTGTCTACAAGAGAATAGATTAGAACTCTACCAGTAGTACAAAGAGTAAGGAGGTACGTCAAATTCCACCTCTTTGTTTTTCTCTCTCATCCTTTATCAATCCTCCAACCAAACTGCGCAGGCAAAGAAAAGCAACTCTGTGGCCCAGGAAGCTTTTTCCCCTTAAGGTCTCTCTTTGTTGATATTCTACACGTAACGTTCAATCAGAGATCTTTCTGTAGGCAGAATGGAGTATGAAGCTCCCTGGGCATGAGCTACTCAACCACTGTTTTCTTTCTTCCAGCTACAGTTTACACTGCAAACAATGATTACAAATGACTTTTATTTTGGATTCAGCTCTTACACTAGGTCCCAAAGAATAGACTTAAAACCAAAATGGAGTCATTCATGATAAAGTTAAACAATGCCAAACAGAAATTCCCCCAGGAAAGCCAGCTTCAATGGGCATGATAATAAAGTCCTTCTGGTTTCATCTTTGGCAAAAAAAAAAAAAAAAAAAAAAAAAGTTGCCTGCAGTAACTTAATGTTAACTTGTCAATGATTCTCCTATTGTTCTCTCTCCCTTCCCTTATGAGGAAAATAACTCCAAAATAGCCAATCAGATCTTTGTCCATTGTTCCTTAGGGGCCAAGGAAAGCAGGAACGCCAGTCTCCTCTGGTCAACAATGCATACCCATTTCAAGGAATCTATAACCACAGAGGAAAGCCAATCAAGATCTTTTAACTAATAATGGTTAAATTTTGTTATTATTATAAATAATAATTTTTTAGATTTTTAGACTGGTTAGTGTTCTCTAGTCTATTTACTATTATATGTGTTCTGAAACTTAGTTTTATTTCCTTAAATAAATAATAAAATTGCATTCTCTCTATGAAGCAACATTATTACTAAATATGTCTGTCGTTGGTCTTTCTCCATGTGGCCTGTCTTCAACTAATTTAAAAATTCTGTATCAACAGTTGCCACTTCCTCATAGCCATTTCTTCAAGACCTGGTCAAAATGCTTTCAAGTTCCACTGGCTGACTTACCTGCACAGCTCTCCTAACACTCTCAAACAGCACCCTCGGTAGTTTAGGGAATTGTTAGTTTTATGTGGCTGAGCGACACTTCCTCAGCCACCTACCCACCTCTGCAATGAAATCATGCAGCTCTCCTTCAGTAGGGCAGCATCCCAGTGACCTGATAATTGTCCCAATCTCTCTGCAGGGGGGAAAAAAGTTGTGAACAGTTTTAGAATATAAATTCTGGAAAGGCAAGTGTGGTATAAAGTATCAAATAATTATCTAAATTATTTCAGATCACATAATAAAGCAAACCACCTGGCTCACAATTGTATGAGAAAGTTTCTGGGAAAAGTAAGAGATACACAAATGAACCAAGGCAGACCAATGCTTTCTCTGGCAAATGCAAGCCATGACTAGTTCAAAATCTCCAGAGAAGGGCTCAGGATGAGATGGCCGGAGGGGGAAGGAATGGCAGCCACCTGATGGCTGATTTCAACTGTTGCTTAACTCTAATGGGGAAGAAAAGACAATATATGCTAAACATTTAGCATGCTAATGTGCACCTAGCTAATCTAACGTAGCCTTGCAGGGTGAGAGCCTCATGAGTCCTGCCTGGGGGCTAGCCACAGGACTAAGTAGAGTCAGGCTGGGTTAAAGTTTACTTCACTCTGCTTGCTGTATGTACTCTTGCTCCTTTCAAATTCCACCCTCTTATCTTGAAAGCAAATGCTTACAAAGCTACCAGCAGAAATAGTTGGCCATATTTGCTAAAGTAGGAATGTTCCAATGGCTACTCACAACATCTGCTTCTGTAGACACACAAAAACTGAAATAGTAGCATCCCTTCAGTGATTATGAGACCCAGAGACCACCCTCATATGGTCCCTGCAGATAGGAATCTTCACACTTGCTCAAACTATATGTTGTAAGAAACTACAGGATGGGACCAGACTTTGCAAAACACTAGCTTTGGTCCATGCCTACTCAACTTAAATGAAGCTTTGTTCTCCAGCTCTCTGGGTGCTGCTTGGTTTTTTGTATTTTGGGGTCTTTTAAATATTTTTTAAAATTTTATGTGCCTTGGTGTTTTTCCTGCATGCATGTCTGTGTGAGGGTGTCAGATCTTGGAGTTGTGAGCTGCCATGTGGGTGCTGAGAATTGAATCCAGGTCCTTTGGAAGAACAGCCAGTACTTTTAACCACTGTGCCATCTCTCCAGCCGCTGCTTGGTTTGAAAGCTGGCCTCAGGTTTAACATCTGTAGAATAATGATGCTGTTATCTACACCAGAGTTTTGTCATAAAGGCTCTATTACTGACAAAGAACATAAAACATGGTCTCCAGCACCAAACTACAGAGGGTGAAATCACAACTCCACAACTGGCTAGATCGGACAAGTTCCCTACCTAAATACACCTAACGGTGAAACAGCCAGTACCTTCCTCAAAACACATAAATGGATCTGGGGACACAGTGAGGGTCAAATACTAGTGTAATGTAAAGCTCAGCCGAGGACAATATAGCCACTCAGTAAGTATTAGTTTCTCTTGCCCTCCTTCCCCATAACAATGAAATTCAATCCAACAAATAATCTAAGAAAAGTATACATTCAACTCAATATTCTCTGCAAATAATGATGGGATCTGTAGTAGATTCTTACACATTTCCATTAAAATTGAAGTCATATTTGAATGCTAATCAAATTTCACATGCATTCACGCAATATTTTAATTTCCTTACCATTCTGGATCAATTTGAGAAGAATTTTCTTTGCTGTGTATTTTACTTGTGAGAAAAAACACTTTAAATAAGAATTATTAAATTCTTTGCTCAGAGGCTGTGGTGAGAGTTAACAAAAGAGAGAGGCCAGACCAGTGGTGGAGAGACAGGGCCCTGCCTGCCTTTGATGTTGACATTTCCTCGTGGCAAATCAGCATCACCAGGCAGGGTGTACTGCTTAGTTTTGTCAACTCGACACAAACTGGAGTTATCTAGAAAGAGGGAACCTCAACTGAGGAATTGCCTTCCCGGGGTCTGTGTGTTGTGTGATACTCCTGACCATTACACCAACATAAAGCTCAACAAAGGAGATTAGATTCAGGGATCTTGTTCTGAAAAGAAAAATGGGGGATATAGAAATGGTAGGATAAAAGGGTAGATTATTGAATCTACTTTTAAACTAAAAGAGCAACTACTAGTCTTAAGTATTTTACATTGGTTTGGATTTTTGTATATTGATACAAACTTAAAATTAATTTTGTTATACTGTATGAATGTTTCTACTCTTGCTTGGGGTATCATGCTTATGCAATTCATTTAAAATGTAATGCTTAATTAAGAACTACAGATTAACGTTCATCTATAATGGTCAAACTTAGAGTCATGTTAGGAATGTTTTCAAGGTCATACGTAGATATATTCAGATAGATGGTCTTCAAACACTTCAAAGAACTATAGAATATGGCATGTTTAATAACCTAAGGCTTTTCATGACAGGGAGATACATCTGCTCCTGACAGCACCAATTTACTTCAAAAGAAGATGAGTATCCAAGAACCTCCGTATGGAGCTTGCTTTCTTTATGGCAAAAGTTAGCAAAGAAACCACTCTCTGCCTCAAAGCAAACTTTATTGTCAGAATGTGATCAAACTATCACACAACATCTGTGGGCATGTCTGCGGGTCATTTTCTTGACTAAAATTGGTGCAGCTCAGCCCACTGAGAGAGGTACCAAGCCTGGACAGTGGTTATGGAGAACAATCCAGCACGCAGTCTTCTTCCATGGTTCTATTTCAGTTCTTGCCTCCAGGTTCCTGCTTGAGTCCCAGCCTGGCTGCCCTCCATGATGGACTAAGGCACCCAAGAATAAACTAAATAAACCCTTCCCTCTCTGAATTGGTTTGGTCACTGTATCTATTACATCAGCAGAAATTAAACTAACACAGTCTTCCTTCCTGTGGGTACAATGTAACCTTCCTTTGTTCTCCCCTCTCATTTCAACCCTTCAACCCTTTTTTTTTTTTTGACCATAGGGTTATCTAGGCAGATCTGAACATGATGGCCACTAGACATACTTTACTAGATTATTCTTTCTCTTATGAAGCCCCTAGCAGTATCTCATGAAACTGGGTAACACCAATATAATAAACATGCTATTGAAACAACAGATTAGCTACTTACTGAGCACATGAAAACAATGACACTTTTCCCTTCACAACACTATTGGGGTTTGGCTACAGTGAGAACTGCTCAAACTCCAGCATTGAGGACTAACAACACAACAAAAGGGACAGCACAAAGGGAGGAGACAAAAACCTAATAGCTCTTGCATAGGGAATTTGAAGAAATTTGAGGCTCCTATTGTCCGATACCATAGTCACTATATCTGGCTCTTAAACATGTGAAATGTAGCAAAGGAATAAAATACACTCAGATTTCAAAAACAATAAAATGAGAATACAAAAATCTCATCTGTATTTAATATTCATCATCAATTTAAGATATGTTAAATATTAAAATATTTTAGACATATGTGTGTAGTATATTATTAAACTATAGAACTTGGAGGGCAAGAGTGGCTGATACCACAAGTCATTGCTCATGCTGTCTGTGACATCACTGACCACGGAGCCTCATGCCACTATCCATGAAACAAGAACAGGCTAACCTCCACATTTACAACTAGGGGAAAGCCAACCAGCAAGATGAAACTTTCAGAGCATTAAGTTACAGGATAAGATCTGAGCTGGAGACCCACATCAGAGATGGGAGCCACAGGGGCCTAAGGGCTCCTCTAAGAAGAGAGCATCAGGACCCAAAGAGATGGAGCAATGGTTAAGAGCATCTACTGTTCTTCCAGAGGACCCACGTTCAGTTCCCAGAAGCCTCACCAGGCAGCTCACAACCATCTATAACTCAGATCCAGGATATATGAGGCCCCTGGGCTCCTCTGAGGGCATCTGCATTCATATGCACACACCCACAAGCAAACACAAACATCCACACATTACAATTAAAAACAATAAAAATAAACCTTAAAAAATAATAGTTCACTGGCTGGGCAGGTCACCCATCCAGGGAGAGTGCTGAGACGCTCTCCCGTGGCACAGAAAACCTTTATGGGAGAGAGAGGACTTGGGGTAAGCAAACACCCAGGGGAAGGCAGTGCCCAGGAGCTAAGGAAAGTAAGGAGAAAGCGAGAGTTATCTTTGGAGCTCAGAGGTGTTAGAGGAAGGAAGAAGTGGCGTTCCATAGACAGTTCTCAGAACTGCACAACTTTCCAGTGGAGCTGGTAAAGCGGGAGATAGGCAACGATCGGGACAAAGGAGTTTCTGTTGAAAGCAGGGGAGAAGGAGATGGCAAAGGATGGGGGACGACAGACCAGAGAAGTGAGCATGCGGGGGAGACATTTCCCAGAGACATGCCGGGGAAGAGGACTCCGGAGAAGATGCTCTGGTTAAGCACAGGATTTGTTTATATTTGGGAGGTTATTTGGGAAGTAGGGCACACAAGGAAGCCGGGGCCTTGTGGATGCTAAACATATCCTAATTCTGATCTCCACCGAGCCTGTCTGTTATGTACTCTTTGAGACCCACATTGTCATTGCAGACTGGTTACATAAGAATCTGTGTTTATCCCTCCTTAAAAATGCCAGCTTTGTATTTCTTAGAAACTTATATACAAGAAACCAAGGACCTCTTAGTGTGTTCCAATTTTCATGTTGTTTTGAAGAATACTGCAATGACCTATCTTGATAAGAGCCCATCAGCCTACTAGGAAACACTTGGACCTTTAAGAAGTGGGACCTAGGACTGGAAAGATGGCTCAGCTGGTGAAAGTGCTTGCCATGCAAGCATGACATCCTGAGTTCATGACGCCATCTATAGGTGAAAGGGGGACTCACCCCACAAGGTTTCTCTCTAACGCCACACACACACACACACACACACACACACACACACACACACACACACACACACGCAGGGCCTACTGGCAAATCACTGCAGGTGTGCCTTTGAGACCCTTGCTGCTCCTGTCACTCTTTTGTTCCATGGTCTCCATGACATGAACAGACCACCTTCATTTCCCCTTCCTGCCAAGCTGTACCGCCTGGCACTGCCTTGCCACAGGGCCAACTATGGGCTGAGACCTCAGTGACATGGCCCACTCAGTGGGTAAAAAAGCTTGCAGCACAAGTT